AATAATAATAATAATGGTAATAATAATTATAATGATAACAATAATAATGATAATAAAAGATCAAAATAATAATAATAATACTAATAATAATAATAACAATAGATAAAAATAATAATGATAACAATTCCTGTTTAAGGATGGACATGGATCTCAGAAGACTGTGATGAGCCAAGAATTTGCTTTTATTCTACCATAATCTAAGAATTAATCCATGCTAACCAAATATCTAATTGTTGAATTTAACAGTTAAACAAAAAATATATTTCCTAAATAGCTCATTCAAAAAGCATAAAAGTATCTTATTTCATAATCAACATGATGACCTGAATAAGTACATTAATATATCCTAATTTACATTTACTAATTCAAAACTAAATATTGCTGTTACTGTTTAAGGAAGTTTTCAGTAGGGTTTCCAGCGAACGAATACTTACGCGAAATTGCGCAACGTATTTTTTCGCAAATTTTAGCATTTTTCTCGAGCGTCGAAGAGCGAAAAATTGGAAATGTTCGACGAAATTTTTTTTTTCTCACGATTTACCCTTTTCGCTGGAAACCCTAGTTTTCATCTATAACATATAAACCGTTTTCTTTAATGGATTTCTCTGAAATTTAAAATATCAGAATTATACGAAGAGGCTTGATCTTTAATTAAGTTTTGTCCAGATTCCTCTTAAAATTTGATGAATACTTCCTTAATTTAATAATGTTAACTGTACTGTTTAGTAAAATCCAGTGTTTTAATATTAGTATTGCGTAATTTTATATTTGCAAGCACTCATACAATAAAGTTTAAAAAGTAATAGATCACAGTTTTCTTACAAATAGTTCCAAACAACGTTTTTTTATATGGACGGGTTTTTCTTGGACACCATACATCCCCCCTAGCCCCAAAGTCCATGCATAATGCATACGCTGTAGAAAATGAAAAAGTTTTATTTATTACTGAAAATAAATTATTTGTTTTTGATACAAAGGATCTATTCAAAGAAACTTTTTGCTTGTTCAGATTTTCTGTCAGAATTGCTTCAACATTTGTTTATCTCTCAAAAACCCCTCCAATCCTTCTTTCAAAACCTTTAAATCCTTCAACTTCCATCATATCATGTCTCCACTTCATGCATGTTTCAAATGTCCCCCCCCCCACCCCTTCTGAAATTACTCTCCCACTTTTATTTCACTGGCCTCTTATGTTTCTCCCCCCTCCCCTTTCAACCCAAATTGCCTCCTTTTTAATCTTTCCATTCATACTTCAAATCCCCCTCCCCACTTTATTAAACTGTGATACCACCGATGTATACTTTGAACCAGCTTTGAACCTCTTTCCTCTTTCAGTTCATACTAGTATCTCGAGCGAGAAACACCTTGTGAACCAGCTCCGGCTTTGTAGTGATAGTGTGTACACTGTACTGCAAATCTCAGCAAATTAAGTAAGTACACTTGTACTTATAAACAATCCCCTCATACAAAACCTTATTATTCTTCTCTTTTTTTCCCCTTTCCTTCCTTATTTTCTTCTCTTTATTGACGGGAAAGTATGGCGGGGAAGCATGGTAACAAAAAAAAAGATCCCCCTAAAGATGGGGTTTCTCAACCCTCTATTCTTCGTTTTCTGACCCCTGCTCTAGGAATTTTAAGTGCCACCAGTGCAACGCCAGAAGAAACCAACAACACCAGGACACCCAACGAAATTATTACGAACTCGAACTCGCAACCGAACGATAACGGCAAGAAGCGTCCTCTTGACAAAGAGGGAGAAAAAGTTAGTCCACTTGGAAAAGCTATGCGTTTAGACGACGACACGAGCACCAATAAACCGTCGGAACCACGTACCGATTCCCGAAGTGAAGTTTACGAAAAAGTCGTCGAAATAATGAAAGGACTTGCACCAATTATCGATGATAAAAACGCTCCGACTNCTTATCTTATTTTTATCATGTTAACAAAAAGGGAAACTCGCTCCCGTGTATGTTCATATATAAGCATGCACACTTTTAAATGTCGCATTTTTTAATAAAAGACAACACGCACCGTGTTTGTAGTATCTACAGTAACACTCCTGAAAAGTATGCTATCTTTCAATAAATAATTTAGTTTTTTCCTCACGAACTGCTTCATTATAAATATTTGAATATAAACTTACAAAAAGTTCAGAAATGGAAAAAAACAGAAAAAAAAAGTATCTTTTAAAATCGTTTCCGACGTTATTGATTTATTTATTTATAATTGTATGTACATAATAACTCGTTAAAAAAAAAATCTTGTGATAAATTCATATTTTCAACAATCTTGTAAACCATATAAACAATGATACTCAAATAAATATCTAGATTTTAAAAAAAGAACCTCTTTCCCTGAATGTTCATCCCTTTCCTTTCATACCCCCCCTTCCCTCCCACACGCACTTTGATTCGCCAAAAAACGAAAATTTGCGACTTTATTTTGATTTTTTCTCTTATTTCTAAGGAACAATTTACAAATCCCAGAAAAGAACCAGTTCTGAGAAAGATGAGCGCGCGAAGCGCCCCTAATATCTTGTTTTTTATTTTTTTTTATATTTACAATTTTCGTCCTTTAATTTCGTCAATAATGTATGATTGTACCTAAAGTTTGTAAACCAATTCAGGGGTAAAAAGATTTAGCAAAAAAATCAATTTTTTTCAAATTTCTAAATTTTAATGATATCATTGTTGTTAATAACTAAAAAATATTTTTTCTTCATAAATAATTTCTCCTTTATTTTTGGTTTTCCGCTTGCCTGAGTAGCATTTACCATTTTTAATATTTTACACTTCATTTCAGTAGACATTGGTAGGAAGGATAGATAAATAGATAGATAGTTAGATAGATAGATTGATAGATAGATAGATGCATTTGGAATGTAAGGATGCTTTAGTTTATACTTTTTTGTCATACGGTGCACACTGCACACATATAAAGTTTAAAGGAAATCTAAACAAAATTTTGTGTGATCATACTCAACAATTGTGTGCTCAACTATTCACAATGACACCCTAAAACACAATCAATGTAATGTTGAAAATGACCCACGCAAACTGGAGAGGAGAACATTACATTGAACCCATTTTGACAATATGTATAATCTGAAATAATCTCAAATACATGAATTAGGGAAGTAACAAGTGAAAATTGAATTTCTAAAGATTTAAATAAAAGAAATTATACCACAGGTGACGTCTTAACTTTTGTATCTTTAATCTTAAACGGTTGATCTAGATATCCAATATGACCACTTTTAGATTAAAGAATAAGAAGTTCTGAATAAAATAAAGATATTATTGTATTCAGAATATAAAATTTCTGAATGCTTGATCTCGATATTTTCTTAGTCTACAGATTAATTCGATCTTTATTAGATACCCCATTAACAGTCAATCAGTAGTCAGGGAATTTTGCTTCCAAATCTAGAAATCAAACAGCTTCTGCGTAATATTTGAAAACGCCCATTGTGGATATTAAGATCAAGAAATCACAGCAAAAGTTCCCGGGCTAAGAAAAAAATCGTGAATTTTAGATAACTTTTGCAGAAGGACGGCTGTGAAAAATTGGGTTCTAAAAAACTGCTTCTGAAAAAGATACAATATTGATAAAAATGGCAATTTTCACATTATAAAGTAACCATTTTTAATTGTATTACCTTATACGAATAAAAAATTACGCTAGCAACTAATCCGTTTTATTGCAGATATCTTACATTTTGTGCAAGTTGGGGTTAAGGAAATTGACAAAAATGACAAAGGAAAAAATGATAAATTTTGTATGGCGTCAAATTGTAAGTATTAAAGATTCGTTTCCACTTGAAATATGTTGGCTTTAAATACAAAACTTTTAGAAATTGTGAAATTTTGTTAATTTATTTATTACTCTCTTTTCCCTGCAGGAAATACCAATAACCTTTGTCTTTAGTTTTCTATTCAAACGTTTGCATAGTATTTAAAACAATTTAAACAAAATGGAGAATAAAAAATTGTGCTTATATTGTATTACTTTGTAAAGGGCAGTACATTTTTTAAAAGGAGTAACATTTTTATTCAATTTTACTATTAGTGGTTGGCAAAACTTTTTTCTTCTCACTTTTTAGGTTTTTAGACTTTTAAAGGCACCCCAAAATATTGTTTCCTATAAATAAAGTTTTATCATTTCAGAGCTGAATTTATTTTGCAAAAATTTACTTTCCTTAAACTATGCAAAATGTTAATCGTAAGAAAAAATCGAAAAAAACACTATATTTTCGGGTTTTTTTGTTGTAGAGTTTGGCAGTGTAAGGAAGGAAATGTTGAGAATAATCGACAATTTAATTCAAATTTTAAAACTAGTAATTGCCCGGCCATCACCAACTGTCTTTATATTCTAAGCCATTGTAAAATCTATAAAAAATAAATAGATAATTTTAAATTTTTAATAGGTTATTTATTGACTCTTAAAATTGTTTAAACTTTTAAAATCATTTTTAGAAATTAAACCTTTAAGAAGAAACAATTTGATTAAAAATTCAAAAACACATTTTAAAGAAAAACACATATATATATTTTACTAGATTTAAAAAAATTCCCACAAAGCTGTTACTTCATAGTTCAATAGAGTTAAAAATTTTATCCATCCTTATTCCTTACACGTCACTAAGTTGTATTCATTAAACTCAATTTCTATATTGTATTTATTTAATTAAACATTAATTGAAATAAAACAGAGGAGGGTGTGTGTGGGGGGGGGAGCATTAATGCATAAATTTCACGGTATAATTGTTAATGATGCATTTAGTTGCAGGAAGCAAAAATGCGTAGAAACCGCGGCGCAGATCCCGCAATTCTTTAGTTTCCCTGAATCCCGCGCATTTATTCAACTTCTTATTCTTCATACATAAATCTTTATTTCAATTACAAACATGTGATAATAATTTAAAATAAAATAGCCTGATTGCGGATTCGGAACAAAATTGCGTAGTGACTTGTTTCGTTTTTTTCTTTCACAATGTTACATAACAATCTGAGAAAAATTACAACCATTTAAAGATTGATCCAGTAACTTTTGCAAGTATCTTTTGCCAGGGTGAAAGCATGAGTAGTCTAAACTTACAATATATATATATATATAAAAATAAATATATGTTACATTTCTAAAGCCATACAAGGATTTTAAATAATCATAAAATTACAAATTAAATACACACTAAAATCGACAACGATCATCATGTTGCCACACAAATTTTGCAGCACTTTAATCTTTTCGTTTTATCTGCACTTTCCCTTTATTCATTATAAAATTAATGTCTCCTTTTATAGCTTTTGCTGTTTTTGAAATTTATTTCTTCCAGAACTGTAAAGTTTAAGGCATTTAATCATCTGGTGTAAGGTTTATTGGATAACCTTTAAATGCACAGTGCAGGTTAATTGTGAGTAATTCTTAGAATAAAGGGAGTGTTGACAAATTTATAGTAACATTTCAAACATTTAATGATAAAAACTAAACTAAAAACTAAAAGCAAATAAATAAAGCTATCCGTAGATTTCAGAAAATAACGAAAAAATTAAAGTTCCAGAAAAAACGACACCAGATTTTTAAAATTACAGGAGTCACTGCAAAATAAACTGATAAGTCCTTTACTGCACCTTACAATTAAAGAGTACAGAACAAATGCACCAGAATCTCAAAATTAACAACTGTTACTTTAAACAACCTTTTTCCCCGGAAAACAAGTCTTGGAAGAAAAAAATAACCAGGATAGGATATATATATATATCCCTTATCCTGGTTCATATCAATGTTTATATTCCTCCAATACAAATTGTACACCTGGTAAAACTTGGTCAAAAATGTCTCATGACAATTTAGAGAGCACAAAAATATATGTGTATTTTTTCAAAATTAAAATGCACGGAACAGGTTTTTTGTCTTTACTCTGTACAAACAAACCATTGACTGATCAAGGATTCACAACAGTACTCTGGAAACCATTGACTGATCAAGGATTCACAACAGTACTCTGGAAACCATTGACTGATCAAGGATTCACAACAGTACCCTGGAAACCATTGACTGATCAAGGATTCACAACGGTACCCTGGAAACCATTGACTGATCAAGGATTCACAACAGTACTCTGGAAACCATTGACTCATCAAGGATTCACAACAGTACTCTGGAAACCATTGACTGATCAAGGATTCACAACGGTACCCTGGAAACCTTTGACTTAATATGGATTCACAACGGTACCCTGGAAACTTTTGACTGAACAAGGATTTACAACGGTACTCTGGAAACCGTTTACTGATCAATGATTCACATCGGTACCCTGGAAACCATTGAATGATCAAGGATTCACAGCGGTTCCCTGGAAACCATTGACTGAATAAGGATTCTCAACGGTACCCTGGAAACCATTGACTGATCAAGGATTCACAACGGTACCTTGGAAACCATTGACTGATCAAGGATTCACAACGGTACTCTGGAAACCGTTTACTGATCAAGGATTCACATCGGTATCCTGGAAACCATTGACTGATCAAGGATTCATAACAGTACTCTGGAAACCATTGACTGAATAAGGATTCACAACGGTACCCTGGAAACCATTGAATGATCAAGGATTCACAACGGTACTATGGAAACCATTGACTGAATAAGGATTCACAACGGTACCCTGGAAACCATTGACTGAATAAGGATTCACAACGGTACCCTAGAAACCATTGACTGATCAAAGATTCACAACGGTACCCTGGAAACCATTGAATGATCAAGGATTCACAACGGTACCCTGGAAACCATTGACTGATCAAAGATTTACAACGGTACCCTGGAAACCATTGACTGAATAAGAATTCACAAAGTTACCTTTGGAAACCTTTGACTGACCAAGGATTCATAACGGTACCCTAGAAACCATTGAATGATCAAGGATTAACAACGGTACCCTGGAAACATTGAATGATCAAGGATTCACAACAGTACCCTGGGAACCATTGACTCATCAAGGATTCACAACGGTACTCTGGAAACCATTGACTGAATAAGGATTCACAATGGTACCCTGGAAACCATTGACTGATCAAGGATTCACAACGGTACCCTGGAAACCATTGACTGAATAAGAATTCACAAAGTTACCTTTGGAAACCTTTGACTGACCAAGGATTCACAACGGTACCCTGGAAACCTTTGAATGATCAAGGATTCACAACGGTACCCTGGAAACCTTTGACTGATCAAGGATTCACAACGGTACCCTGGAAACCTTTGACTGATCAAGGATTAACAACTGTACCCTGGAAACCTTTGACTATCAAGGATTCACAACGGCACCCTGGAAACCTTTGACTATCAAGGATTCACAACGGTACCCTGGAAACCATTGACTTATCCTTATCTATTTACACAAAAGCTCGTAATTGATGAGCACTTTGGATTAAGTTTTTTTATATTTAAATAATTTAATCAATTACTTTCTAGAAGTGGCAGAATATATATTTACATTTGAATTACTGAAAACCGTGTTTAAAACAGAATATCATGGTGATAAATGTGACGTCATTCGCGTTGAGTTCATGATTGACGCTAACGTACACTCTAATTTTACTGCTTTTTACCTAACATTTAAGAGACATGAACGTTGAGTTACAGGGTGTCCCGCAAAACATAACAGCTGGTATTTGGAAGAATGTCTTCTTCCGACTACTGTTTTAGATTTAAAAGACTTTTTGCAGTTTATTTCTTTAAAAAATTGTTTAACTCATATATATTTTGCTGTGAAATCCCCCCAAAAAATAAAAATATAAATATATAGAAATGGCAAAAATATTATCAGTCTCTTTAATATCAAACAATTTATCAAATTATGACTATTCACCTTTTGTCCTTTTTCGTGGGACACCCTGTATATGCCCTCGATAACAGTGAAAGGTTTAGAGGGTACCATTGTAAATCGGACATTGCCTTCTTTTCATAAAGAGCCACTTAAAATAACGCTTACAGTCCATTTCTTGTAGATTAAAAAAGCTGAATTCTGAATTGCATTGATGAATGAAATATTTATTTATGTTTAGAAATTGATCTCATGATGGGGGGCAGATATGTGTTTAAATGATCTCAAACAATGTCTGATGTGTCCTATTTATTATTGGTAAGCTATTCTTGATTTAAAATAAAGAAAGTTTAAAGACGCCCCACAACAATCTGATATATTTAGCTAGTCTGTGAAATGTACTATCCATGAAATAGGAATTTCCTATCTATGTATTAAATGTCCTATATCTATAAAATGTTTCATCTGTGAAAAGCCTTGTCTATGATGTGTCATGTCCATGAAATGTCCTATACATAAAAGTCCTTTCTATGATGAAATGAACATCCTTGAAATTTTTATTTATGTATTATCCTTTCTTACAATGTCCGTCTAAAATGAACATTTCACCCGTGAAAAGTATTTCTATTATATGTCTTATCTATGAAATGTCTTGTCTTGTCTATGAAGTGTCATGCCTATGATATGTCCTTTTCATGATAATTTCATCTATGTAATTTTCTATCATGGAAATGTCCATCTGTTTTGAACACTTCTCAATTTCATATGAAATGTATTTCTAAAAAAAGTCTTATATATGAAAAAGTCAATCATGAAATGTTATTCAATAATATGTCCTATATATTTGAAATGTCCTTCACAATGGGCAATTATTATCCACAAAGGATGAGACTTAAATGACAATATAAAACTTTTTAATTTTGGAGATCTGCATTTTTCTTTATAAAAAAAAATGCCAGAGTAATAAGCACAAATGATTTAATGGGAGAAAGCACTAATGGTATATCACAAAAGAGACAAAATTGCCTAGAGATGAGATAAGATAATATTTATTGTTAATATTAGCTATTCCTGTCTTGTAGAACTACACATTCTGATCCTTTGTAGACATGAGAAATTGCATTTTGACACATATATTTCTGATTTTGTTTCTCCCTAATATTACGCCTATTGTCCAGAGCTCTCTCTTTTTTTCAATTTTCTTTTTCATAATATTCTTTGCTAAGATATCTTAGCGCCATAAATTTCAAATTAGTACAAACGTATGATAGAAAGGAGTGGATATTTTTAATAAAACGATCTTTCGATTCTTGTAAGATTCATCTTGGACAGAAACTTGTACATGTAACTGACATCTTGATGCTTACACATAGAACTAGATTCGATCAAAAGAATTAACGTCTTTCCGAGGGGTATTAGATAATATATCCATGGGTATTAGACTACTTGACAGCTCACCAGGGTTGTCGTATATTTATAGCTAGGTAAAAAACCTCCATTCTTCAGGGTAACACAGCGTCAAAAGATGGATACGGGACTTCAATGTTGATTGTAGTTTCGTTTTTTTCTTTTCCATTTCGGTGCAGGGGTGTATTCCTCCCTAGCTAAAGTTTCTTTATTTCTCTCTGAAAATTTTTTTAATCCTGAAAACTATATTTTTCAGGTTTGGTTTCCAGCCGCCCTTATTTTCTCTCCTCGACTTTTCGCACATCTATTCCTTCTTCTTATGCCAGGAATATGTATTTTCAACCAATCAGGAAACATAGAGAATAAAACAATGTAATACACGTAATTTCGAATCACAAAAGTACCCTTGAAAGCATTATCTGATCAAGAATGAGTGAGATATGTATAATCTTCTCTTTGAAGATTGATTTCCATGATTGTTGTTTTTCTATAAAGTAACTTAAACATTTATGTTCAAGTAACGATTTCTTCCACAGTATTGTCAAGAAGGTTTAAATGGTATTATTGTGAATTGGGCATGCCTCAATTTTTTTAAAAGAACGGTCACTTGAATATCAACGACAGTCCCTTTATAGTATAGTTTAAAGTGACCTAATATTTTAAAAGACCCATGAAGGAATCAATGAAACGTTTCTGTCTTAGCCTCTATAGTCTATATAGATAGATATTGCAATATTGTAAACCGCGTTTTAATCAATAGTAATGTTGTTGAGATGTCTCTTTCTGTTGAGATTGGACAGTCAAATGTGTAATTTAAAACTTTTATACATTTTTTGTGTGATGAACTTTTAAATAGCAATTTATTTGTTGGTGTTTCACCGTTACAATTCATGATTAAACGATTATAAAGCTTTAGAAAATTATTGAAATTGCACTGACACGAGAACTTAAAAAAAATTTAAACGGAACAGTTTCTGAATATGTTTGAATGAATTATCACCCCAACAAAATGAGTCAAATGTAAGAAAAACTAGATATTTTGTCTGGCTTCAAATACGTTTCCCATGAAAGATGGATTTTATAATATTTGCGAAGTTTTGTTTGTAAAATTTCACGGCTTTGCACACTCAAATTTAGTCTATAAAACCATGTTTTCTCTTCTTCTATAATTTGGCTTGTTTGTCTGTTTGTTTGGGTGTCTGTTTGTTTGTATCCAATAAATGTCAAAACAGCTGAACCGATCGGGTCCAAATTTTTTGTGGGACATCACGTGACCACAGGGAAGGTTTATGAATGATAAAAATTTAAAAAATTGTGTTTTAAAGGTTTTTAATTTTGTAAAAAAATTTAAATTCTTGAAAATCCGCAATTTGTTTTTCTTCTTTGTTTTAAAATGTAAACAAAAAGAACAATTGTTCACAATTTAAATAGAAGATGGGCGCGAAGCGCCCTAAAAGCCTAGTAATTCAAAGTTGACCAAATCAAATTTTATTGATGCTCTTAAAATTTTGAATTGAGAGTGGAACAAACGAAATGTTTATAGGTATAAAGCTTAAAATATATGAAGCAAATAAAAAGTCTACTAAGATTAAAACGGTGTTGTACTATTAAATTATTAAAGATAAACATAAACTATATTCTTTATGTTATTCCAGACTATTCTCATGGCTCAGCAAAATCATTTTCATCATCAGACTTGAGAATTTTAAGAACATCAAGGCTGGATAAAAGCAAAGTTTTAGAACAAATGTTAATATTAAACTCTAGAAATCCAATAAGTGAAACTGTTCAATCCAATTTAACGGATGAAACATTAAATAATGAAAATAATTTAACGGTGCTAAGTTCAAACTCCATTTTATATTCTTCATCTTCAACCTCCACCTTGAATTATTCAACTTCAACCTCCATTTTGAATTCTTTACCTCCAACCTCCATTTTGAATACTTTACCTCAAACTGCCATTTTAAATAGATTAACTCCAACCTTCATTTTGAATTCATCAACTCAGTCCTCCATTTCGAATTTACCAACTCCATTCTCAATTTTGAGCTTATTAACTCCAACCTCAAATATGAATGCATCAAATCCAACCTCCATTTTGAATGCATCAAATCCACTCTCCATTTTGAATGAATCAAATCCAACCTCCATTTTGAATGAATCAAATCCAACCTCCATTTTGAATAACTCGTCTCCATCAACGACACCGGAGGAAAGTAAATCTAGACAAAAAAGAGGACTTTGGGATTTGCCTTGGTTCGAACAATGGAAGTAAGTAAAAAAACAATTTAGAAAAAAAGAAACGTTCTGTTTGGTTAAAGAGACTGTAGCCGCAATTTCAAGTGACCCGAAATTTGTAGAGGGGCAAGTGCGATGTATTCTTTAAACCTTTGCACGAGCTAGGATAACATAAATATCCTTGTTTTTAAAGGAAAAAATTGATTTCCGGAAGCTCACTCTGTATATTTCTTTGTATACTATTTGCTTGCTACTTGTGGTTTCAGCACTACATATTCGAATGTTCCTTGATCAGACAAAGGTTTATAAGGTACCGTTGAAAATCGAACAGGGTCACTTGAAATGACGTCAATTTTGCCAATTTTTCCCCCTAACATTTGTATTTTAAGAATGCAAAAAAAACAAATAGAAAATTCTTCATTATTTTTACAGTACTTCCACAATTTCATTGTTTCTCACGGTTTAGTAGGTTTAGTGCTAATATTGTATTTTTCTGATAAGGTCAAAAATATTTAATTAAATTTCAGTTAAATTATTTTAAAATCATAATTAAATTTTCAAGTCTAAACCCCTCTAAAGGGCACAAATATTCATTTGTATTGTTTAAATATGTACTTAGAACTGTTGCATGTTTAAAGAGTTGTAAAATTTCAAAGTTCCAATATTAGATATTTGTTTACTATTTTTAAAGATTACAGAGATAGTACAATATTAGTTATATTAGATTTGTAATCTGTAGATTATAAAGGAACTGCACGTAGTGTTTTCAAGTGACCCTTTATTAACAACTGTATCCTATAAAGCTTTTGTCTACTCGAAAGGATGGATTTATCCTTGTTTTTTTATCGTAAAAAATCAAATGCAGTTCCTATTTTGGCATGTGTAACTTGTAAAATTGTAATTATATGAAGTCTAACTATATGAAATGTAAGTGAGCTCGCGGGAATGTTTTTTTTTGGCTTGTTTTACACATTTTCGTTAGGTGGCGAGCTTTAGCTGATAAAGTTTGATTTCCAGACAAAAATCCCAAGCTAATATATAACACAGTATAATAATTTTAATTATTTTAATTTTAGACAAACGACAATCCAAGAAATTTTAAGAAGAATTAACAAAAGAAATCTGGTGACCTACACCCTATCCCGAGATACAATAGCAGTAAGTCATATAAGTTTACAAATATATCAGATAGTCGTATTTAAAAGTTTCAAACGTATTTTAATATTATTAACTACTAAAAAGTCATGTTAACCCAACTCCCTAGTTGCGCTCAAAAGTACTAAAAAGTCCCATCGAAATGTCAAGTTATTTATCAATTTTAACTTTGTATACAAAAAGTTGGAAAAGGTTACATTAAAAAATGTTTTTTATAGTTTCTGATGATAAATGGCTGTTGGTTGCTGCTTTATGCACTTTTCTGGAGAGGAAATTCGGGCCTTCAGCTTTTAATTGGTTGGTTTATTTTTCATTTTGTGGAAGGAACTTATTGACAAACATCTTCGATCCACAACGATACCCTAAAAGCTGTCTGATCAAGATTGAATGTGAAATTCATGATTCTCTGTAAAAAAAAACTTTGTCATTTTCATTTGTGGGTTCTCTAAAAGAGTGACTTGCGGATTTATTGCTACAGAAACACTGAAGGAAATTGTTTGATTAAACACTTATTTCTAATTTTGATATTTTCTTGCAAATTACAACTTTTAAGCGACTATTAATTGATATATGTTTATAATGCAGATAATCTTTTTTTTCCAATATTCTTCTTTTCTGTCTTCCCTTGTTCACTTTGTTTAATCGTGTTGTATTATCTGCATACCCTACTTGCAATTCTGAATTGATAAAGCAATTTGTATTTCCTCAAGAAGCTGACTTTGCCAATTTTTCTACAGGTTTATACTCAGGATATGAATTAGTAGAATTTTGATTTTTCTTAAATTCTGAATCTGCTGCAATATCAATGTACCCTGCAGTAATTTTGATTAAAAGTTCAAGCGATCTCCATAGACTAATACTGCATTTAGCTAGGTTCAAGGTGATCTAGGAGCAACCCCTAAGACAAGTACTCCCATTTCAAAATGCTGATCCCTCTCAGAAAGTTTTAATTTCGATTCCACAGTATAGGGGCTTCTGAGTTCCACTATATCTGCTCGTGAAGTAGGATAAGGTTTGATGTTTCACAGAGTTATAGAGAGATCTTCTTGCAGAAAATCCCTGTTTTTCCTCTTGTTTTATACTAATTTCCTATGTGTGTGCGGAATTAGGATAAATTATCCCATTATTATTCATGTTGTGGTCAGAAGATTTTCCATGAGGGCTCCAGTTGCTGAATAAGTTCGGTAAAAAGCTGGATTGATGTATAATGTACTACTAGAATGCTTCATGACTCTTTTTGATTATTTTTCCTGTGGTTGATTATTACCCTCCTGTTTATTTATTGTCTGACTAAGAAAAAACATAGTTTTCCTCAGATATTTCAAAAATTTGATAATTTTTGGTATACTGCAGGCCATCTAAATTTAACATAGAACAATTTTTATTTCGTGGCTGTTGAGTAAAAACGCATTTTTGATTGGCACCAATCAATTAAAGATTTTTTTAAGCGACAAATTGGATTTTTCTAAAAAAAAACTTTGAAGTAAGATAACTTATAAAGATGTTGAGATGTATTATACCAGCTCAAATGAAACCTTTATGTATCTAGCTAAAAAAATATATTTTTTACGTTTACAAATAATCTTTAATGTGAAAGCTGAAACAAATGTCGTCAGTTTGGCTAATCAAAACTATATGATCGCCTTTGGCTAGCTACTTGGACTGAAATCCCTGGTAGCAACTCCAAAATCGTGGGAGCAGCCACCCCTCCCTCGCTCAGGAGAGAGGTCTTACACAGACTATGATCTAGGATCAACTGATGAAACACATATCAATCAAGGAAAACGTCGATATCTTTCCCATATTATTGATCAGATAAAGATGTTAAGGGTACGTTGTATGTAGGCCCTATATGGCATGCCCCTCTAACAAAGGGTCACTATAAAACTTATTAAGAACCAGGTGCTCCGTAGCTCTAACCAAAAAAAATTGATTTCAATATTGTTTAGACCCGTTTGAGCTGACCGCGAATGACCGGCTAGTATCCCTGGAAGTATTTGAAGACCAAGTTGACCTGCACAGTATAATAAACTTCTTCATGACCCCGACCACTGTAGCCAGGAATATTGGTATCTCAACTAGTATAGTAAGTTGATTATATTAATTTTAAAATTCAATACGGGCATAACTTTTGGATTTGGATTTGGAAAAAATAAAGATAACTTGGACATTAACTGACAAATGCACCTTTTTGATTAATTTATCTAAATTATATTTATATACTTCAAAAATTTTGCCTTGAAAATTTATTTCAATTGGAAAACGATGAAAAGAAGTTGGCTTGAACATCGATTAAAACTAAATTGCTTCTAGAATATAAAATTCAAATTTGAACTATTTTACTTACTAAGAAAAATAAAATCGTCTCAAAACTTCAAATAATTGTTTCCTCGAAAACTAAAATCTGCTAAAATTGATTTATCTATCCACTTTAAAAGCTTGAACGCGTGAAAGTCCTCAGTCCTGTATGATATATATATATATACTTTTCAGTTTTTAATCACCGTATTCCTATGGCTGGCTCCTACATTACTTTACAAACTTTTCCCGGCCCAAACAGCTAATGAAAGGTAGATTTCGTTTAAAAATTATCGTTATTCATTTTTTCTGCTGTTGGTTTAAAAACAAGGGGTTCAACAAGTATTGGAGGAAAATTTATTATTTTAATTACTTTTTACTTAATTTTGATTCTTAATAAATCGCTTACTTTTTTATTGAAGTTGTAAAGGTTCTTTAGCTGTCTCAATATGGTTCAACCGGACCTTTTCTTACTTCTATCTTACCTTAAATATCAGATTTATGCACATTTTTTGGTAGATATAGACTACCTTACGTTAATTAAAATGTTTAAAAGAAAATGTCACTTTTTGCACCACCAAAAATCATACAGTAGCAAAGGACTATAACAGTCTTTGTCACTAAATCTGATTTTGTAACCACTATATCTTTCCACCCAATGTCGTAGACCTTTTAATATTTCAAACTATGAATTCTGTTAGATCAAATAATCTAAGTTTGAAATATAAAAGATTTGACATCTTTAGGTTGCGAATTTATATAAGGATTAGAAAAGTTGAGTTTGTGACAAAGACTCTTTTCCTTAGAAGCAAATTTGAAGAAAAAAATTTTATAGATATAAACCGATTTAGTAATCAACAATTTTAAAAACTGCGATCATAAGGAAAGGTCCATTATAAAAATGTTCAGAACATGTTGAAATTGTTATTAAAAAATGCGTCTTGTGGCGCTGAATACCATCCATTTAACCATTTAATGTTTCTGAACTCAATGTCTCAACACCGATATTTTGATACGCATCTTAATTCAATTTTATGAAGTTGTTTTGGCTTACATTAGTGATTCGATGAACACTAAAAACAAAATCTGAATGAGTTAAAAAATCATAAATAAAAATCTCAAATTTTTTTTTAAATGTATCAAAGAAAACTTTATAACTGGTGAATTGTGGATTTGAGCATTTTTATCAAAAAATTGCCAAATGGTTTCCCCCTTATGATTGCTTATTGTTTAATTTTTGTATTGTCTAGGATGTCAGAGGAGGATGAGTATTTTGAAAACTTAAGTCGAGCGCAAGAAAGGTTGGAGGAGGAAAGTAAGTTTAGAGTTTAAGCTGGCAGTATTTTTAAATCCGATGGGGACTAAGTGCAAAACAAAATTATTTGCCGGATTATAACTTAAAAATAGTGCGTATTGAGGGGGGTAAAACTACATTTTGAATGTGATCTTTGACGGTCTGTCGTTATAATTTCAAGTGACCCTCCATTTAAAAATAAAAATAGGCATACTTAATTAACTACGGCATCCTTGAGAAAGTTAAAAAGAAAGAAAAGGTCAAAAGAACTATGTTCTTCTGAGACCTAATGTCGTAGACCTTTCATATTTAAAACAGTGTATTCTGTTAGATCAAATACTCTATGTTGGAAATATCAAAGGTTTACGCCACCAGGTTGCAAAGATAGAGGGATTAGAGCATTTAAGTTTTTGGCAAAAACTCAGTTTCTGTACACTACATTACTGGTACATACTAGACTTTGTGAGAGTGTAAGAGACACAAATTTATTTGGTCAACACATCTTTGGTCTTCTCAATAGCCCTTCAATAATGGAAGTTATAGTCGAAAACATCAGATTTTAATCCAGAGACTCATCATATTATTTTCATTTTACTTAGAATATGTTTTGTTCTAGTGGAACGAACTGGAGGATTAATAGAAGTTTACAGATCTACAACAATACAGGATATATATAACAGGGAGCACATCCATCCAAACTTTAAATATTTATATATATTATATATATATAATGTATTTCAAAACTACATATTTCACTCTTTCTAATCAAGCATGAAGCTGGTGGGGGGGGGGGACTCGCCAGAGTTAAATCCAACTATTCACAAATATACATATATTCATATTTATGTTTTATTCTGTTTTTCAAAAAAAAGAATGAGCGTTTAATGACGGCCTTTAATGGGATCCTTGATAATTTAAAAATGACAAACACAATTTTACAGTTGAGTTGAACCATAAATTTAAAAGAAAATCTGGGTTATTTTAGGTCTGTTTACAGAAGAATAGTTAATTTGGAAGTCTAGAAAATATTTGGTGATTTTTTATTAACCTATTATTAGCTCACTTATAGTATACTCCAACCCCCCACCCCCCTCCCGTATCTAAAAGAGTACCCTTTTGCTTTAATGGAATGTTTGAAATCTAGGGTATTGTGTCCGACGTGTATAGCCCGAGTTCTTTTTATAAATTCATTAGTGGTAAGTTTTTTATTACAATTTTTGTATTCAAATTTACTGAACCTATTTGTCAGTATAGCAAAGTTGTTTTTATTCCTCAGAAGCCTATTATAAAGTTAATTATTTTTTAAACTAAAACTTTTTTTTTCTCTTATAAATTCTAATTTTCACTTACATTTAAAACTTTGATTAGTCCAAAAAATCTAAAGTTGATATATCAAAAGTTTACACCAGTATGTTGCAAAATGCAAAAATGCAAAGAATAGGTTTTACACTATTTAAGATTGTGACTCAATACCTTTCTCCAATTTTGTCTCTTATTTGAAATTTTGATTCCTTCCTACGATGAATATCAAAACACAGCATTGTCATTCCGTTGAATAGAATGGAGGGGGGAAGGGCCTGGGGGGGGTGGATGATATGGATAATATAAACCAAAATTGACAAAATGAGAAATGCCCCCTTTTCCCGTTTAACCAGTATATGTGGATTACACTGGTTTTACACAGACCACACTTCATGGTGGCTTCCTTCATCAAGGTTTTTTTTTTCACTTTTAACGTTTTGGAGAACAATCAGTTTATAATTTTAATGATAAGAATGATTTATATATTCTTATTTTCAGACGAATATATGCGGTTTTGGGCTTTTTTGTAAATTGGAAGAGTTTAAATAAAAGTGATTACAAAAATAAGTTTTCAATGTTAGCAAATTAAAAATTTACCCCATTTAAAATATTTTGACCTCCAACCCTCCCCCCTGGTCCGGTATCTCCTTACTCTGATAGCTCTCGACAGCATTTTTTGCATTATTAGAAGAGCCCCTAAGCCATAAGCTTAATCTCCCAAAAAAAAAATCTTTTTGTTTAGAAAAAAGTTCCATAACAATAACACAAAATATGAAAAATGTAAGTTTGTAACGCCTTGCTACTTCGAATGTGCTAAAATATTTTTAGCAAGAAAAAAATCGTCTAAATGAGTTAAAATAAAAATAGAAATTTAATGTCGTTAAAATCCTGTAATGTTTATCAAATCATAAGCAAGAAACCAAATCTATAAAAGTTACTTGGCAGAGTATCAAAAAACTAACTTTTTTACCTTAAATAAAATAGTTTTGGAATATAAAGAGAAGCGGTAAGAGAAGAATCATTTGAGCCCCATAACAATATATTTTGAAAACTATAAACATCGACCATTCGATTAGAATGGTCTATTTACAAAATTAACAATATTTTTATTTTTTATTTATTACATATTAGATTATAGTTTGTTACTGCATATCTTTTACAGGTGCAAAAGGAACT